CCCCAGACGCCCTCTCCAGCACCACGTGCCCTTAGACTCCCGGGACACCAGTCCTTTGGGACTTCTGCGAGAACCGTGCTTCCGGTAACTGGGAGCCATGGGGAGGGAGCCCCCAGTCTCCTGCCTGGGCTGGCCAAGGCCTCCCCGTCCCCAGGCCCTTGGTGGTGCTGACCTGAGTTGTGGCTTGGAGGGAGTCTGACTTTGGCCAGAGGCAGTGTGACCTTTCCCGGATGCCGGACACCACGGGCCGGGGGTCCACACACTGGAACCCTGTGGTTCGTGGTGGTCTCCGAGGGACGGACTCCCAGCAGGTGTGTCTTGGGGCGGGAGAGCTGTGTTGGTGGGACAGTGAGGTTGGGACAGTGAGGGATCTACTGAAGGGATCTACTACCAGATTGATCCCCAGCAGCCATGCCAGTGGGGACAGTGACACTGCTGAGTGGTGCTTCTGGGTGTGGTGCAGGACTGGAGGTGCCCTGGGGCCTCTGGGGGAATCCACTCCCAAGCCCTCAGGCAACAGAAGCACCCAGACAGCCCCCGCTGCCTGTCCCTCGCCTCACCCCTTGCCCGGTGACCTCGAAGGACCGGGACCTCCGCTTCCTCCTCTTTGCCTCCAGCGACTCCTCCCGTTTCTTGCCCAGGCTTTTCTTCTGGCCACGCAGCCAGGGCCCGGCGCCATCCTCGCACTGCCCGACCACCCGGGATGGGGCCTCGCCGGTGCTGCTGGACAGGTTGTCCTCGCTGGCAGCATGCTGCAGTGCGGGGCTGGGTGGCCTCTTGCATGCCAGCGGGCCGAGGGGCCGCGCATCGTCAGCCTCGCTCAGAGAGTGCAGGGACAGGCTGCTGCGTTCAGTCGCGGGGGCCAGCAGGTGGCTCCCCTCCGTGCCCAGGGCCCGCGAACGCCTCCGGGCGGCCTTCACTGAGATGCATTTGGTGCTAGACAGGATCTCCTTCCTCTCTGGGGGGACACGGGGAGCACCGAGCAGGGATCAAGGCCACCTCCCGACACCCCTCCCCAGTCACACAGAAATAGGTAGGAGCCAGCATGCCTAGGTTTCCGACCCAGCACCCACGTTTCTGCAAACCAGGATGGTGAGACTGAGCCACAGGGGTACTGCAAAGACCACTGGGGGTGAGGGCCGAGCCTGCACTGTCTGGGGGGAGTTGCTATTACAATTATGCCTGAGTTAGGGGCGTATGACCTAAGTGTCACATGCTCCCCACTCTAATTTCCATATGTCCTTGAGCAGGTGGCCGATCCTCGGGGGGCACTGGTGCCGTTGGAGTGGGTAGTGCCCACGTCTGGATGCGCTGTGCAGTGCAGAGGGCAGGAAAGGCTGTGGGCTGGGCACCTTGAGCAGTTCAGAGGGTGACAGGCAGGGGCTGAGGGAGGGCAGGCACCGCACCTTTGTGGGATAAAGGGATCTCTGACAGATTCTCGCTGCTGTCTGGGGAAGAGTTGATCTGGCTGCCCGGGCCGTCCACAGGTGGGGCCTGTGGGTGAGGCAGTGGGAAGAGGAAGGCCTTGAATGGCAGACTCCATGGCCCAGTCGGCAAGGACATGAGGCCCCAGTACTGGCCGTTTTAGAAAGGCTCTGACCTGTCTGCTCGGTGCCCACCCTGTGCCCCCACCCCAGCAGGCAGAGAGCTCACCTCCCAGGTCAGCTGGCCGCCGGTCAGGATGGGAGGCGGGGTGGGCACGGAGGAGCTCTTCGCTTGCCAGGCTCGGGCACTGGCCTTGAATATGCGGTGGGCTTCACTAAGGTGGGCAAGGGAGGATGGGGTGGCTGGGGACCAGGCTGGTCCCACGGAGGGCTCAGCTCCACCCCAGGGGGAAGCTGCTGGCTCAAAGGGCAAGAGAACTCAGGAGCCCAGCCCTGTGCCACCGCCTCCCCTCGTTCCCAATCCACCTCCCTATTTAGCCCCCGTCTGGGGTGGCATCCCACGGATGGGCAGCGGGGCAGGAAGGACTGGTGGGCATCGGCCCCTGGGCGCACCTCTCGGTGCTCAGGGGAGGGAGGGTGCCGTTCTGCAGGCGCTGGGCTTCAGAACTCAGTGTCTTCACACTCTCCGGGTCAGAATCTGGGGTCAGCGTGGTCCCTGCTGGGGTGATTTTGGGCAAAGAGCTGTCCTGGAGAAGGGGAGCAGGGGTGGGCCATCAGAAGACTTGGTCCTGGGCCAGGTGGCAGTACTAGGTGCCCAGCACTATAACAGGCTGGGAACGCCCAAGAACAGCGGGGTGTGTGCCAGGTCCTGGGGGTAGGCCAGGCATCCCTAGCCCACTGTCTGATGGCCTGGCCTCCCAGTAGGGCAGCAGGGCCATTGGTCACATCTGGGACTCAGCTCTGCTCCCCACACCCTGCGTAGGAACGAGCACTTGTGGGGAAGAACCCCCAGAGGTGGGGGCCTTCAGGCTTGGCCAAGCTTTGGGTGGGGTAAAGGAAAGGAAGCAAGTCCCTGGGGTGCCGTCCAGCCCGGTCCTCTCCCCATGCTTGCTACCTGCAGGCATCCCTTGGGCATCAGCCCCTTCCTCAGCACATGCACACCTGCCTAGGCCTGCGCAGGTGCCCACCTGCAGGGCCCTGGAGGACACACGGTCCATGATGGCGGCCCGCTCCAGGCTGCCCTCGTCCAGCTCCCGCAGGTACACTTCGTAGAGCTCCTCCAGGTGCTGGGGGACGGCCAGGTTGTAGTCTGCGGGAGGAGGGGGAGGCAGGGCTCAGCGCCCCCTCGGATCCTGGGGTGGCTAGGAGGCCCGAGGCGCGGGCCCTACCTTCTATGATCTGCCGCTGGCCCTGGATGATCTCGTCGCAGAGACTGCGGTGCTGCTCCAGGCGGCGCAGGGCCTCGCGGCGGTGGCGGAGCGCGCCGTCGCGGAGCAGCGCGTGCGACTGCATCTCGGTGTTCTCCACCTCCAGCTCGTGCACGCGGCACAGCAGGCTGAGCACTTCGCGCTGCTCCTCAGAGCCGATGCGCCGCGGTAGCGTCTCCTCCAGGCGCCGGCCCCGCGTGCGCAGCTCGCGACAGCGCTGCTCCAGCGCCAGCTGCGGGAGGTGGCGGGGTCAGCTCCAGGCCTCCTCACCCAGCCTGGCCTCAGCTTCCAGGCTCCGCAGTCCGCTTCCTGGTGGAGCGCCACGCCCAGGCCAACCCTGAAAGCTATGTCTTGGGCCTTGCAAGCAGACGCTGCTGCCAGGCGGCCCTTCGTGTCCACTTCCTTCCCTTTCTTGTCGCCCTGACCACAACCCACCCTGAAACCAGCTTGGTGGACTGGCTGCTCCACATTACCCCGGCCCAGCCCTCGGGTTATGACACCCTAAAGCTCCCTGCTTTTCCTTTTCCTCTGTAATTAGCTGTGGTACATGTGCTGCTGGAGAGAGACAGAGGGGAGGTGAGAGAGCACTCCATGGGGGGACGGCCATAATGCAAAGCCTTCTTTCTCCTCTTGGCATTTGGGGCACATGCATACCTGCCTGCATCCAGAGCGTTTTTCAAGCCACTGTGTCCAGGGCTTGAACTGGGCAATCAGCCATGTGGGATCCAACCACCTGAACTACCGGGCCACAGGCTGGCCCGGTCCCTGGTGTTTGTATGCCCAGAGCAGCAGTCAACCCTGTGATCTGGGAAACCCTAGCCTCACGTTAGCCCCATTTTGGAATCTTGCGTGTGCCAGGCGTTTGTCAGCTTCTCCTCCAACCCCCGCAGGGTACACCACGGGGGCTCCCATTTTACGGAGAGGAATCTGAGGCTCAGAGGAGTTAACACACTTCACACGCTCACACCACGGGATCTGCTGGCGAGCTCCCAGGTCTCACTCCTCCCTCGCCCGGACCCGAGCCCTGGGCACCTTCTGCTTATGCAGCTTCTTCTGCTCGCCCACCAGGGCGGCGATGCTCTCCCGAGCGGAAGCCACCTCCGGAGGCTCCAGGATGTCTGGCTGGTCGTCGCCGGTGTCCGAGTCCTTCTCACCATCGTCCTTGGTATAAGACTCCTTCCGCTGCTCCTCCCGCCATTTGAAGGCCCTGCGCGACTTCTCGTGTTCCCAGCTGCCGCAGCCCCGCCCCAGGGGAGACCCAGGAGTCAGCCGCCAGGTGGGGCAGTGCGCAGCTGCAGCTCTGGGGCGGCTCCTCTGTCCTGGGCCAGGAGTGGGGCCTGGAGGGTCCGGGTCAGGGAGGGGTGCTTACCCGGCGATGGTGAGCAGGTGGCGGGAGGTGTCGATCTGGACCTCCATGGCGCGGTGCTCCAGCTCCAGAAGGCGTCTCCGCACATCCATCTGCTCCTGGAAGGCGCTGACGAGCTGCTCCCGCAGCTGCCCCATCTGGGTCTGCTCGCCCTGCCCACTGTGGAGCTGTACCTCGGCTGCCCGGTGAAGGGGGTGGGCTCAGGCCAAGACAGTCTGGGCACAGCGGGGCCCTCTCCTCCCTTTCTGCGCAAACCACCGTCCCCGTGCCTGTGCAGCTACTTCCTCCAGAAAGACCTCCAGGATTACTACCTGCTCTGCACCTCACTGCCACACTGAGTCTTAGGCTTGTCCCCAAGCCCCTCACTATGAGCTGGGCTTCCACTAGCCCTTTGCCACCTGTGCTGGCTATAAAGAGGTGCCCCTTAGAGAGTTTCCGCCACCATCGGTGAACCATCCTAGCAAAGACACAGGTCTACGAGCAAATGGTGTCCCTCCTGGTGCCCTCCTAGCCAGCGCTGCAGCTCCCAGTGTGACCTTGCACGGTCAGCTGTCCCCGTGCCTCTCCTGTGACCCACCCGGTCTTCACGGCAGCTCTCCGAAGCAGAGCTCCCGACCCCACTTCCTAAGGGAGGGCTAGAAGGCTCAGAGCAGTCGGGTGACTCAGTCAAAGCCACCCAGCCAGAGGAGCCAGAGCCGTGTAAGACAGCCGGGAGGACTGCTGGGACCGCTGGCACTGACGCAGACCCCGGGCACACCTTGGATGTGGCGGATGTCACCGCGCTCCGGCCGGCCCCGGGCCTGGCCCCGCCCAGCCTGCTGGTCGATCTTGCACTTGAGCCTCTGGATCTCGGCCCGCAGGTCGGCGATGATGCTGGTGTACTGCGCGATGTGGTAGGAGACGCTGAGCAGGTTCTGCCTCACCTTCAGGAGCGCAGGGGGCAGAGGGGGTGGTCACTTGGGCGCCAGGCTCCCCTCCGCATCCTCGCCAAGGCCTGCCTGGGGCTTCCGTCTGCCCTTCTGGATGGCAGTAACGGTCTCTCTGCCTCCAGCCCCACAACGCCTCTGCTAGGTCCATCTTCCTACATGCTGCTACCCCGGCTCATCAACCTTCAACGGCGCCCACCGCCTAGGGGAACTGCCCTACTTCCTTCACCTGGTGTAAAGGCCCACCATTAAAACCACTTATCTCTTATTATTTTTTAAAGAATTGCTTAATTTTATGTATTTATTTATTATTTTTAATTTAGAGAGAGAGAAGAAAAGTGAAAAAGCAAGCACCCACGTCCGGGTCTTGAACCATGATCCGCCACGTGGGAGTCCAGCACCTTAACCACTATGCCACCTGCTGGCCCCGGCTTTTGTTTTTTTTTTGATTCACTGCTCTAGTTGAGGATCCACTGTTCTCCCCACACTCACCATGGATCCCATCTCCTCTTCACCTTTGGAACCTCTGCCCTCCTGTTCCCACCCTCTGGAATGTCCCCTGTATCCTTCAGGGTCTCACTCTCAGTCCAAAGAGCTGCACTGGATCCACCGGCCCTCTCCCACCTCCCTGGGGCCTGGTCTGCCTCGGCACCCACCGCCAGTGCCGCTGGCCTGCTAGTAACAATGTCATGAATTAACTAATTATTACAAGAACACGAGGGGTCTTTAAAAAGCTCATGGAAAATGCATATTATGAGAAAAACTATGTGTGAATTTCAAAATGTCTTTGCACCAAAATAAATGTGTTCTTTAATTCTGTTTATTTTTTTTCCCACAGACTTTTTAAAGTCCCCTACATATGTCTTCCTCATTAAGTTCCTGCAGGGAGGCCTTAAAGTAGATGCACTGTTTGCACTATCTGCAGGCATGCGAAAGCTCTAAGCAAAGACAGAACCTTCTGCTGGGCTTTCCAGAGAGAAACCTGGGCGTAGCCGGGAAGCCCAGGAGAGGCCTGTTAGACCCACGAGGTACTCCACGGCTGGAGCACGTGGCTTGGCCTCCCCTGTAAAGTAATGAGCACCGACCGGCGCAGAGACCTCAGTCTGCCTGACCCCCACTTTAATCCGTCCTTCTCAATCCACAGCCCTTTTCCTCGAGGTACCCTATCTCTTCGCCCTTGGGCAGGGGCAAGTCCCACAGGCTGGAGGACACCTGAGAGCACCCGGGGTGGCAAACCCGGGCCGGAGCAAGGCTCCATTCCCCCACCCCACACAACAGCTGGAAAGAGATCTCTCGCTGGACGGCAGGGCCCGATGTAGACCAGAAAGGTGAGGGCGCCAGCTTGGGAGCCAGGCAGGCCCAGTTCCAGGGTCAGCTCCATCACTGACAGCTGGGATGTCCCCTAATGTTCTCCAGCCTCAGTGTCCAAGCTGTGACATCTGCCCGCTTTCAAGGGCCACACAGTTGATGTGTTAGGCTCAGAGCAAGTGCCCCGGTAAGGCCGTCAGCTATGATGTCATGCCCAGGGGCCTTGAAGACAGGAAGGTCTGACCGAGCCTCTGAGAAGGGAAGGGTGGAAGGGGCTGAGGCAGGGGAGCCCAGACCTGGAGCGAGAGGAAGACTGTGCCCTCGAGAGCTGTGGGCTTCTGGATGGACAAGCAGGGTAGAGGTGCAGGGAAGGGGCCCGGGTGACACGGGGCTGGGAACGAGGCCGTGCGATGGTGGCTCGTTCCAGAGAGAGTGGGGTGGGGTGGGGAGGGGTGGCAGGGGCAGTCCTGGGGCTCGAGGCGTGCCTGGGTGGGCAGTCCGGGCCCTCACCCTGGTCTTAATGTTCTTGGCCCGGCCGGCATAGGTCAGGGTGTTCCGGGACTCCTCGAAGGCGCAGCTGGCCGGGCTGATGTGGGCGATCATCACTGTGCGGCTGTTCCCCCCCAGGGAGTCCTGCGGGCAGAGGAGGGCGGGCTGTGGGCAGTGGGGGCCACCCCAGCCCCTCCTGCCAGGCTGCTCACGGCGGCCTGCTGGGTGTGTGGTGCGTGCCCTGTCTTCCCCTCTCGCACACTCACTCACGCACTCTCACAGAGCATCACACGTGGTTGGCACAGGACGGGGAGGGCCCTGGCTCTAGCACCGACCCACTGTGAGGCCTCAGCAAGCCGCTTCACCGCTCTCACCCTCCGTTTCCTCACTTTTTTTTTTAAAGAGGTTTTTTGCCTTAGGGTGCGTGTACTTGCGGGGGCGGGGGGAAGAGAGACAGAGACAGTGAGAGGGAAAGTGAGAAATCACCCCCTCAGGGGGGATGGCCATGCTGAGATCCCTTCTCCCCCATTCTCTTCCTGGGATCTTGGGCAAGCACGCACACGGGCCCGGCGTGAGTTTCACTCAAACCGCGGTCAGCCATGTGGGCGTTCAGCTACGGAACCACTATGCCGTCTGCTGGTTCCAGCTTCCTCACTTTCGGATTCTTCCATGAGGGGGAGAGCAGGAGAGAGAGAGGGGGAGAGACAGACAGGCACACCACCCGGTCCTCGCACCACGATCCACCCCAGGTCACAGGCACACAGGCGTGTGCAGGGAGCCCTTGGGACAGACCCAGCACCTTCTCACGTGGGTCCTGCATGACAGTGTCCCTGGCCACTGTGCCCCTGCTGCCGGCCTCAGCGAGCTGCTTTGTGGGCCGGCTGTCATCTGCAATGGCGCCCGCCTGCCTGGCTGCGGGGACAGGCTGGTGACGGTGTTCGGCCCACCGTGGCTGTGATACCAGACCGGGCGGGCTTCTGTTTGGATCTGGCTTTCAGCACTGAGCAGCACGAGCCCTGGGAAAGTTCCCTAACTCTTGGTGCCTCAGTTTCCTCATCTGAAACGTCATCCCTAACTCATCGGGCTGTCGACGAGATGAAGGATCTGGGGGTGGGGGAGCTGAATGCAGAATGTGGCCTGGAGTGGGCACTCGGCGATACCGCTGCAAGGCAGGCCAAGGACACTCCTGTACAAAGGAGGGGGCCCCATAGCAAGCTCTGTGGGCCACGAGGCCCACTGCCTGCCGAGCCCCCAATCTAGACGGCCTCCTGGCTCTGGAGTATCAGGTGCAGCCTCTTCCACCCTGCTGCCCGGCCTAACCCTTCGGTCAGGGGTACCAGATCAAATGTAGGACACCCAGTGAGATCCGGATTTCGAGTAACCAACGACTGCGTTTTTAAGTGTGTCCCAAATGCTGCATGAGGCACTTTCACTCACACTTCTGCTATTTATCTGAACCACGAATGTAGCTGGGTGTCCTGCATTCTTTTTGGGAGAGGTTTTTGCTATAGGGTGTGTGCACTCATTGGAGAGACAGAGAGAGACAGAGACAGAAAGCAAGAAATCACCCCCAGGGGGGATGGCCATGCCGCCATCCCTTCTCTTCCGTCCTCCTCTCAGGATCTTGGGCACGCACACACACGCGCCTGGAGTGAGGTTTAGGCCACTGTCTGGGACTAAAACCGCGGTCGACTACGTGGGAGCCCGACAACGTAAGTGCCGTGCCATCTGCTGGTCCCCGCCAGCGTCTGTATCGTGGAGCCTGGCCGGCCACGGAGTACCTTCAGGAGCCGGGTGAGCTTGCTGTCGCGGTAGTTGACATACTTGCTGCCGCCCTTGTCGCTCAGCGCGTTGATGCAGTTGCCCAGGGCCAGCAGGGAGCGGTTGATGTGGGCCCCCTCTTTCATGCGCTGCCCGCGGTTCTGCGTCTGGGCGGGCAGTGGGCACAGCGGTTTCACCCCGGCCATTCCACCCGGCCCTGGTGATCCTCGGTGATAAACACCCCCACCCCCAACTGGAAATGCAGCATGGCATGACACTGGGGGCCTCGTCCCGCCCTGCTCCCAGAGTCCGCAGTGGCGTTGGAGAGGCTCAGAGAACGGAGCCCTTGGGCGGAACAAGAGCGGGGGGGCCTCAGGTTCTGGGCAGAGCTGAGAGGGGCCTGCTCTGTCCTCTGCAGGCATGTGGGGGGGGCTTCACACGGAGCACCCCGTGTGGAAGCAACCACAGGAGGGGCTCACAGGCCAGCTTCCCGGAAAGCTCAGCTGCGGGCAGCACAACCCGGGCACGAGGCCAAGAGGGCACACCAGGCTTCAAGGGGCAAGGAGGGAAGCATTGTGCATGCATATGTGTAGGTGTATGAGGGGCTGTGTGTGTTCTCTGAGTGTGAGTGCATGCATGTGAGAGTGTGAGGGCTCTGTGTGCGCTGTGAGTGTGAGTGTGCGTGCATGCATGTGAGAGTGCAGGGGCTGTGTGTGTGCTTTGCGTGTGAGTGCGTGCACGTGAGAGTGTGAGGGCTCTGTGTGCGCTGTGAGTGTGAGTGTGCGTGCATGCATGTGAGAGTGCAGGGGCTGTGTGTGTGCTTTGCGTGTGAGTGCGTGCACGTGAGAGTGTGAGGGCTCTGTGTGCGCTGTGAGTGTGAGTGTGCGTGCATGCATGTGAGAGTGCAGGGGCTGTGTGTGTGCTTTGCGTGTGAGTGCGTGCACGTGAGAGTGTGAGGGCTCTGTGTGCGCTGTGAGTGTGAGTGTGCGTGCATGCATGTGAGAGTGCAGGGGCTGTGTGTGTGCTTTGCGTGTGAGTGCGTGCACGTGAGAGTGTGAGGGCTCTGTGTGCGCTGTGAGTGTGAGTGTGCGTGCATGCATGTGAGAGTGCAGGGGCTGTGTGTGTGCTTTGCGTGTGAGTGCGTGCACGTGAGAGTGTGAGGGCTCTGTGTGCGCTGTGAGTGTGAGTGTGCGTGCATGCATGTGAGAGTGCAGGGGCTGTGTGTGTGCTTTGCGTGTGAGTGCGTGCACGTGAGAGTGTGAGGGCTCTGTGTGCGCTGTGAGTGTGAGTGTGCGTGCATGCATGTGAGAGTGCAGGGGCTGTGTGTGTGCTTTGCGTGTGAGTGCGTGCACGTGAGAGTGTGAGGGCTCTGTGTGCGCTGTGAGTGTGAGTGTGCGTGCATGCATGTGAGAGTGCAGGGGCTGTGTGTGTGCTTTGCGTGTGAGTGCGTGCACGTGAGAGTGTGAGGGCTCTGTGTGCGCTGTGAGTGTGAGTGTGCGTGCATGCATGTGAGAGTGCAGGGGCTGTGTGTGTGCTTTGCGTGTGAGTGCGTGCACGTGAGAGTGTGAGGGCTCTGTGTGCGCTGTGAGTGTGAGTGTGCGTGCATGCATGTGAGAGTGCAGGGGCTGTGTGTGTGCTTTGCGTGTGAGTGCGTGCACGTGAGAGTGTGAGGGCTCTGTGTGCGCTGTGAGTGTGAGTGTGCGTGCATGCATGTGAGAGTGCAGGGGCTGTGTGTGTGCTTTGCGTGTGAGTGCGTGCACGTGAGAGTGTGAGGGCTCTGTGTGCGCTGTGAGTGTGAGTGTGCGTGCATGCATGTGAGAGTGCAGGGGCTGTGTGTGTGCTTTGCGTGTGAGTGCGTGCACGTGAGAGTGTGAGGGCTCTGTGTGCGCTGTGAGTGTGAGTGTGCGTGCATGCATGTGAGAGTGCAGGGGCTGTGTGTGTGCTTTGCGTGTGAGTGCGTGCACGTGAGAGTGTGAGGGCTCTGTGTGCGCTGTGAGTGTGAGTGTGCGTGCATGCATGTGAGAGTGCAGGGGCTGTGTGTGTGCTTTGCGTGTGAGTGCGTGCACGTGAGAGTGTGAGGGCTCTGTGTGCGCTGTGAGTGTGAGTGTGCGTGCATGCATGTGAGAGTGCAGGGGCTGTGTGTGTGCTTTGCGTGTGAGTGCGTGCACGTGAGAGTGTGAGGGCTCTGTGTGCGCTGTGAGTGTGAGTGTGCGTGCATGCATGTGAGAGTG